TGAACTTAAAGCTCCTCTTCTTTTGCCTCTTTCTAGCGGTGCTCCTCATACCTGCTGAAGTATGTATTAATTGTATATATATATATATATATATAATATTCAAATGCATAGGCTGTTACTTGCAATGTTTGACAATGGAATTTACTGTCAATAAAATGCAGTAGACAGCAGTGCTGTTTGGAAAGGTTAATTCGCTACATTTTTTTGTCATAGTGTCAATATGAACAAAAATGCTATTTGCAAATGATTTGTTATTCCGACTCCTATGTGGTGCTGCCATCTGCAATCATGTTTTTAAATTCAGAGTAAACATGGAAAACACAAACATCATGAACATCGGGAGCATCGGGGACATCGTCGACATCGGGAACGTGCCCCAAAAGAAAAGACCAAAACCCTACAGTTTGAGGACATAATTGCAGGTTAGTGCATCTTTATTTTTTATTTATTTAACCTTTATTTAACCAGGCAAAGACATTAAGAACAAGATTCTTATTTACAATGCCGGCCTGGCAAGTGCCATAGGCACCTGTAAATCTTTAATTCTTTTTTTATAACATATTACATATATAGAACATAATTCAGTATCCGAAGAGTGGAAAACAGCTCTGAATCTAATGGAACAAAGCCATTGTTTTAGATTTCTTCTTTCAGATCATAGACAGCCCCGGACAAGATGATGACGATGAAGAAGAGGATCAGAGTACAGCAGACTGGCTTTTTGAACTTCAAGAGCCAGATGGTAAGAGAGTTAACACTCAGCCGCTCTGTCAAACTGTTTATGCCGATCTGTGTCATTTATATTGGAACACTCTAAAAGATTTAAAGATTACAGCATGTTCCCACTTATTGTTTCTCAGGCCAGTGCAACCCAAACCCTTGCCAGAACAATGGTTTGTGCAAGGAGAAAGGCAAGAGAAAATTCAAATGTGACTGTCCCAAACCTTTCAAGGGGAAAAAATGCGAAAAAGGTTTGGAGAAAAGCTTCTTTTTCCTCCATGCCGTTGTTTGATTGCCCACTGGTCATTTACAAAATGCATAATATAAAATGACCAAACCTAAATATAAAACATATGGCTTTATTTTGTTGTTGTATTAGGTCCAAAACATTGTAAGAGAGGTCGATGTGGACGTGGTGAGTGTGTGCTGACTTCGACTCCACCATTCTACGAGTGCAAATGCAAGCAGCCCTTCCAGCCTCCAGACTGCAGAAGTGGTAAGGAGTGTATCTTTACCTAAATCACACAGAATGCCTCTTGTACAAGTTTTTACTGTTTTTGAAAGTAAGCTGACACCTTACACTGTTTCTCCAAAGTTGCCGTATGTGAACCTGGTCCATGTAAAAATGGTGGCACATGTATCAGGAATGAGAATGACTTTGACTGCCAGTGCCTTCCAGGGTTCAGAGGACGTTTCTGCCATGTTGGTAATAATCCACCATTGTTTCTCTTCCCCCATCCAAATATGAGCCCCATCATAGCTCTTATACTGACTGAGTGTGGCATGTATTTTAGGCCCAGATGATTGCTATATGGATGATGGAGAGTCATATCGCGGTAATGTGAGTGAGACAGAAGATGGTGATGAGTGCCTCTACTGGAATTCTCACTTCATCTTGGCAAAAGGTGTTGATCCCTTCGACTCCTTCGAGGATAAAGATGGACTTGGCCCTCACAACTTCTGCAGGTAAGGGGGACATAAATGCGCACAAGTGTGTTCAAACTTTTGACAACATCTCCAAGGGGGATTCTCAATTGCATAATTTGTATACTGCAGAAACCCAGACGGAGAATCGATGCCGTGGTGTTTTTTCCGAAGAGGGCGCAGGTTGCTGTGGGACTACTGTGATGTGACCGAGTGTCCTGAACCAACAAGTCAGCTCTAAAGCTACAGAGAACATTGTGATTTGAACAAAACAGTTGTTTCATTGTCTTGTGTGTTTGTTTTCAGCTGCAACTGATACTGTCCCTCCAAACCCTAAACCCACCTCTGCGAAGCCGCCATCATCTACCATAGCACCAATGCCAGCAAGAACTACTCAGGCTACACAACCTTCTTCTGCACCCACGGGTATCCCCACGGATATCCCTACGGCTATCCCCACACCCAATGCCACTGCACTACCCCTGGACTTCCTTACCTGTGGTAAGCCTCAGCCAAAAAAGCCTATTACCCGGATCTTCGGGGGTCTGAAAGTCACTCCAGGGGCGATACCCTGGCAGGTGTCCGTGCAAGTGAAACCAAGCGGCTCCAACCAGCCGTTCAGACACACCTGTGGAGGAGTTCTCATCGCCAGTTGCGTGGTACTGACAGCAGGGCACTGCATGTAAGCATGAAAAAGACTGCAAATCTGAAACAAGACAGTTCACATATGCTGGCTTAATCCTCATTGAACCATTTGTATTTGCATAGTGAACAAAACAAGGACATGCAGGTGATGATGGGAAGTCTGTCGCAGGATATGTCTGACCCCAATGCTCAAGTCCTACAAGTTGAAGAGGCTATTAGACATGAGGGCTACAGGGAGACGCCTTCAGCTGTTTACAATGACATAGGTAAGACAAAATAAGCACTGAAATCACCTGCAAGATTAGAATGTGTAAAATGGAGGATCTGACGAATATCACCTCACTTCTGTACTTTTTGAATTCAGCTTGGGATGTGAAAGTGTCACCAATTAGGGAGAGAATCAAATAGTTCCATTTGTAATATCATTAATGATATCAGCAGTATTGATTCCCTATTTTAAAAAAAAGTTAGCAGTAAAAAATATATAAGTAATGAGTGTAACTTGTAACTTTATTTTTAAAGCTATTTTGAAGCTCAAAGGGACTAATGGAGTTTGTGCTAATGAGACCCAGTTTGTGAAGGCAGCCTGCCTACCAGATGCACAACTGCCTGATGGGATGGAATGTACTATTTCTGGATGGGGTGCCACTGAGCAATGTACGTAGCCTCAAAATACAATAAACCATTTTTATGCTCATCTTTTGTTTCAGAGGCACTTCAGGTTTGAGTGCTTTGTAGTGTAAAGAACCTGAAGGACCTTGATTCTGTTTTTACCAACATGTTACTAAACAAGAACTTTGTTTATTATAAAGTGCATTTGTTGTTATAGTTAGTTATGTCTTCCTAATTAATCTCTGCAGCTGACTATGGCAGCAGCCACCTCCTGGAGGCCAATGTACTGCTGATCAACCAGCAAAAGTGCTCTGAACCCAAAGTTTATGGCAATGTCTTGGATAATAGCATGTTCTGTGCCGGTTACCTGCAGGGAGGGGTGGATTCTTGCCAGGTTAGTGAGAGAAAATAATTAGTTAATTGCAGGCTATCATTCAAACCACATTAGCTGAATACCTGAAAAATAATTCTGAAATTGGTTGTGTGCAGTAGTGCGTGTTTTTAGTTTTTTGTTATTTTTTTTAAACCTAGTCAGCTGTTTTTTCTTGTTTCAGGGGGATTCTGGAGGACCACTGACTTGTATGCAGAACAACACCCATGTTGTTTATGGTCTGGTGAGTTGGGGAGACCAGTGTGGAAGGAAGAACAAGCCTGGGGTCTACACACGGGTCACTCACTTCCTGGACTGGATCAACTCAAAGATGCAGGCAGGGGGTGCCGTCTAAACAACCTGTTAGTCATCAACATGTGAGCCAGAGTCACCAAGGACTTGGTTCAGGCCTCCAATAGCACTAGAAGATCTAATTTTGCTTAATATATTTGTCAAAGCATAGAAAAAGAAAAGCCTCATTAAATTTAAGCTGTTGCTGCCCTGAATGCTTTAGGAGTGAAAGTGTCAAATTTTGTCATTAATCAAGCACAGTCTTCTACAGTGGTTGTATTTGTAAGTAGTGTCAGAAAAAAAAAGTTCTAGCAAAAAGAAATGAGGTTGAATGCATCAGTGATGGCTCTACCTGAGACATAAATGAAATGAGATTTACGCAATACTGATAAATGCCTTTCTGTTTATTTCAATCCTGAGGTTGTCTTTATGCTGTTCCGTGCCCGTTTGGCCTCATAAAGCCCAAAGGTGGTACAACTTACCGTTAAACCCCTGACCTGAATAGAGAGCGTCATCATGTATGAAAGAACACAAATGCGTGTAAAATTAGGATTTTGTTGACATAGATAATAGCTTTTATATATAATAGCCTTTGTAATCTTGGTTTTCATGAACATGCCTTTTAATAAACGAATACACAATGTTACTGTTCATTTTGATTTCTCATGAATATGGGCCTTCCGACCGAGCTTCTGTCAGAAAGCAGGAATTTACATACAAAAGGAAAATTATGTTGTACACATAACTGTGTAAATCGAAGAGTTAAGTCTTTTCCCCATCTGCAGGAATATAGTGCCATGTTATTTGATCTCACTGGCTGCATTGTTTGCTGCAGGGCAACGACTCTGTAGGCCACTGACATGTGAGACTGAAGGCACGCATGTCCTCCATGGTCCAGTGAGCTGAGGGGACGTCCACACAAATAACAGGCCAGTAGTTTACACACGGGTCATTTACTTCCTGAACTACATCAAGTCAAATACGAGAGCTGAATAAATAGGCAGAATTTGCCATGGAACAAAAGTGCTATTTGGGGATGCATCCCATACTACTGGATGAAAAATTTACTGTACATGACAACTGTAGACACTGATAGAGTTGATCTAAAAAGTTACAATATGTATTCTCAGACATTATTTTTGCAAGCTTAAAATAATATAACAATATTATAATCAAAACACCCTAACACAGTATTTAAGTTTTCCTCGCTGTCTCCTTTCCCACTGGTAAGAAGAAAATTCTTTGTCTAATTTAATTTAAGCAATAAAATCTCTCAAATACAGATTTGTTCCCTGATCATAGTTTTAGTTTTAAATGGTAGAAGGGACAAAGCCAGGCAGGGTAGCCAATGATGGTCATGTATGCATGTTGGACATTCCCACCATGTAGTTTTATGCAATCAAAAACAGAATAATGAGTGATTTCAAGTTCAGAAGAGTCATTTAAAGGTTTCTTCACATTTATCCCCATCTGTGTCGCCATGCCAATCCCAAGGGTCCTTGATCCAAAACAAGGTAAGAGGCTGCCAATTCACTCCTTTCATATCAATGCAAGGGTTAAACATGGGGTAGAGAGGCTCTGCACACTGCACACAGAAAGAGTGAAGCAGGGTCATAGCGTCAGCGTCATAGAATGACAGCTCCCCCTTCTGGAGGTTGGCCAGTATGCCCAGCTTTCGAACTTGTTTTGCAACTGACAGCTGCTTCTCCTGAGTATCATGACAGGCCAGATACTGTCCATCTCCGTGGTAGATGCACCAAGATGTGTTGTTCACACCCAGGCTGGAGGTATTCTGACTTGGACTGTCTTTTTTATCGACTGACCCTGTGGTCACTCCTATCATCCAGAAGGGTTTGTCCTGCACAATGACCTCCCAGTAGTGCTGGCCTTTTGTATAACTCTCCTGAGCCACGACACTGTACTGGGAGTCATAAGGTTGACGGCTCAGTCCTTCGCCGACAGGCTGCTGTCTCCAGTATACCTGTTTTCTGTCTTGGGATATGTCCAGTTTTGGATGGGCTGTTTTGGAGTCTAAAGCAGGAGAATTTAGATCTGTAAATACAAATCTACACTCAGTAAACAATTGTAGATATATTAGGGGTGAATTTGAGATTGCAAAATATTGGATTCTTTACTAACATGACCACATTCGTGGAAAGTGTTGGGACAGGGCCACCGAGAGGTCATCCACCAGCCTCTCTACTGTCCTCAGCTTTTCTGGGTCACACAGATCCCTGTTTACTTTCTGGATTGGCGCAACATCCAAAGGATCACTACAATATAAACAGAAATGACACCAAAAGAAGTTCAAGGGAAGGACGACACAAAGTTATGCTTTAATGTCCTGAAGGGATAGCTGTCAGTAATATACTCACCAAAGATTCTGTGCTGTGATTTGCTGTTTGGAGAAAAAAAAAAGAAAAAAAGAAAAAAAAAAAAGTCATGTATTACTGTGTGTATAATAATTACAGAAAGCATTTTAGCAGCATTTGTTCAACACTTTCATACAATCACAGTAACATACAGACCGAATATACACTTGACTGTATATTATTTTAAGTTAATTCAGCTTAGAAACCTAAGTCTCCCTGGCACCATAAAAATGTGAGTTAATTGTGTTTGGATTGATTCATTAGGTCAAAGTCGTCTTAGGAGTTGTAAAAATGTGAAATGAACTGACTGTGAAATAGACACTGGCAACAGAGAGTTAGCTTTCCTTTACATTTCTTTTTTAGAGTTACATGAAAAGAAAAAATAGAACTTAACAAAGGTACACAGTAAAGTTCCACAATGTCTCTGGGGACTTTTAACTTTCTAACAATGCATCCTGGGACATCTACTTACTGTGTATGCTCGTGTTTTTTTTTTTTTTTTTTAATAAACTTAATTTAATGAGTTGAGTGAACTTTCAGCTCTTCATTCAATAAACTCATCATTTTAAGTTAATGTCATCCAGGTCATAAGAACTCATGTTTTAAGGTTCTTAAAAGTTCTAAAAATAAAAATAAAAAATCAGACATTTTGAGTTTGATTAACGAGAAATTAGCAAAACATATATTTACATTAAGTAGACTATAAAAGATTAATTAATAAGACTAAATTCCATTATGACATACCTGTAAGAATCGCAGATCATTTGTTTCCTGGAGGAGCAACTTTCTGGAGGCTTTAAATCTGTCTATCTCTTTGATGTGTGCTTCCATTATTCCCCTCTGGGCCTCCAGCCACTCTGTCATGTACGTCTCCTCTGCATCTATAATCTGCATCATCAGACGCTCATCACCGTCCAGCACCACACGGATTCTACTGTACTTATCCGAGATTCTCTCTCTGAAATCTGCAGCAGATTTCTAGAAAATAAATACGCTGTTATTCATAGAAGAAAGGATTCTGCAAAAAAAAAAAAAGAGAGATCATTAAAACGGGACAATTTCACATTGATTGTACCACTGCTTGTGTATACAGAGTCTCCAAGTCTTTCATAGCATGTTCTGCTTCAGTTCTCCTCTTCAGTAGTTCGTTCATGGTGGTCTCCAACATTCTCTAAGGACAGAAATACAACAAGTCTATGGAAAAATAAATACCACAGCAGAGAAATAACAAAATAATTGTACCATTTACAAGCAAGTGAGACAACACTATTCATACTTGCCTTAAAGTCTGCACTGGCTTCATGCAGTTGAAGTGCTTTGTGGTGCTTGTGCAAGCCAACCAGGACACACAAACAACACACAGGGACTTGTTCCTGCATGCAGAACAGCTTGAGCTCATCACGGTGCTCCCTGCACTTCAGAGACAGCGGATCTCTGGTCACCTCCACCACTGTGTGCTCCCTCAGAGCAGACCTCTGCTGGTGCAGCAGGGCGTGAGCCTGGCACAGTGAGGCATCGCAGGTCAGACAGGTCCTGATGGCCACCGATGGCGTCTCTATGCAGTGGTCACAGTGGACAGCTGAAAGTGATTTAGCTGGAGCTGCTGTCTGCGTCTCCGCTGATGATGGCTTGTTAATGGTGAAATCCTTGACTTTGGTCTGAAGGCTGGTATTTATCTCCAGAGTGAGGTCGGAGGGGAGAAATATCTGACATTCTGGGCAGAAGAACGGACCCTCACTGGACACATCTGTTTCCCAGACAGCCTGGATGCAGGTGAGACAGAAGTCATGTCGGCATTGGAGCGTCACAGGCTCAGTGAAGAAATCCTGGCAGACAGGACACTTCAAAGTTTCCTCAACAGTCCCCATTGCTCTGCTTGCACCTGTTACTGCAGCCCAGTGTGCTTCTGGCCTTCCTGCTCATTAATATTTCACAGGCCTCTCTTGGCATGTACACACTCACGTGTCGTAGTGTCACATTACTGAAGATGTGTTGATATTTTCCAGTGGCTGTTTCAGACCATTGACTCTCAGGGTGCCACACACAATGGACTGGCACATTTCCAAAAGGAATTACTGGATTAAGTAAATGCCATGTGTTAAGTCATATGACAAGGTAGATAACTACTGAGTAAAGAATGTTTTATCAAGAAACTGTTTTAGAGGTCAGTAATGTGGAAACTGTATATTTTATTGCAACATTTGTTAGCAGTCAGCTATACATTTGTTATGAAAATGTTATTTCTATGCAAATGTGCAACATTATGGCATAAGCATTATATTTTTTCAGTATGTTTATGACTAAAATATATATTTAAATGATTGTCTCTTATGATATAGCTGTGTGGCATTTTCATTCTTATCTTTGAAACTAGTTGTCACAACCGAACAAGGACGTGAACCCAAATGCACAACTCAAGAGACAAAGTTCAAATAAATAATCGTTTAATGAGGGTTTCAAATGAAAAATCGCTCTTAGAGGAAAACTACACAACTAAAAATCAGAGGAATAACAGCAAAAAAGAAAAAAACACTGATTAAAATCTAGTAATACTGCAAAATGAAAAATCACTCTTACAAGGAAAAACTATAACAAGGAAAAAGGCAAGACAAAGTACCAAAATAACGTAAGGCAAGGCTGTGGTTAATACAAAGCAAAGTATCAAAAGAAAACAAAACCTGACTGACAAGATGACGTGTCATAGACTGGCGTAGGTTCTCTGACTTCCAAAAGACAAGATGAACTGGCACAGGACAAAGGGAGATGTAGACTATATATACCCACACAGTAATGGGGAACAGGTGGAAACAATCAGGGCAGGGCAGACAATCAGACCAGTGGGCAACACATAGTTACCTGAAACAGGAGGAGAGTTAAATGTCAAAATAAAACCATGACATTGACAAGACAAAAACTAAACTTAACATAACTTCTTGGACATGACAGTCCGTTTCCCTCCCCTCTCCTCCCTCTCCTCCCTCTCCTGACGGGGGCTTCGATGATTTTGCAGAACTCCTTCCAGAATCTGGAGACGAACTG